AGTTAAGCTGGTGGAAGTTTGATTTTCATTTCATCTTTATAGCTCCTTGAATGAGAAATTGGGCATACTACTACGTAAGAGAAAGTAAATTGCCTCAAGGGGTAACTCTCACAACGTGTATTAAGGAGATGTTTGTCAGAATTTCAACCTGAATACAGACTACCTTGAGATTTTTCTTGTTTTTCTTCAGTCCCTATAGGCAAATTCTCAGTAGTAACTTAAATCACATAACGATATTTTTCTCTGCCTCTACAGCCTCCTTGAACCCTGGCCTGATTTTCAGTTTCTTTGATCACTTTTACAGACGGTAGGAGTCCTTGGACGGGTGATCAGCTCGTCGCAAGGCCTCTACCTAAACACAGGAAAACACAAACACAGAATAAACACACACATGCCAGACATCTATGCCTTTTGTGGTATTCGAACCCACGATCCTGGCTTTCGAGCTAGCGAAGACAGTACATGCCTCAGACCGCTCGGCTACCGTGACCGGCGTCACGATTGTACCCTTCCGTATTTCTCAAATTTATCTTTCATTATGATCTAAACATTCATTTCCTGTGTTCCTGACTGCGTCGTGAGGTAAGCTGCATATACGTAACCGAGACAACAAAGCAGTTATGCACACTCGCTCCTAGAGAGGTTCGAATCCCTTCCATTGAAGTTCTAAAGCATTCCGATAGGGCGCACATTTCAGACTGCGCGGACCCTGAGTGTCCCACTGCGCAGTTACCTGATTTCCAGTACTGGAACCGAATAATCCAAAATTTCCATCCTCTTGGAAACCATAGAGAATACCACGTTAGTGACGTCTACTTCTTTCCTTTGGAAGAGCCCAAACACTCCGGTCCAAGTGCCGTTGGGTGCTCTGTCACCTCCGGTGTTTTCATCCGTGGGGAAATGATATTCAGTGCTGCACAGACAGAAATACCGCTAGGTCAAGCTGATATTACGACATTGCTGTCCTGCAAATTGATCCCATGGTCTCAAAAGCGTACATTTCTAAAGCTCTAATCGCGAGCGTAGCGCGCTGCAGCTTTCTACTGCATAACTCAAATCAAAGGCTTTTTATATTACATTAAATATTCTTGTTTTTTGCGCCCAAGTTTTGGTACATTCTACTGAGGTCATGATAATTTAGGCTTTTTATTATTTTTTTTTGCATAGCTCAGGCGATACATTAACTAGATTACGGGCTTTCGACTCCCGGCAGTGGCAAAGACATTTCTCCTCCACACACTCCAGGCTACCTCTCTCTTCCGGCTTCCTGTTCAGCGACTATCAGGTTCTATTTTCTTCGGAGAAAAAACGGCAGCTTCGTGAAGCTGAGCTTTCACCTTCTTCTATTGTCAAAGTTACGAACGCATGGAACTGTCCCTCCACTCCATAGGTGGCCTTGAACTTAGCAAAGGGATAATTTACCCCTGCCTTACAGGTAAGTAACCCCGTGATTCTGAATTGCAGCAACCAGCAGATTCTGATCCTCTGTTTTGATATCGTGCAGTCTTGTACCTGGATACCACCATCTTCAGGGTTCACGTATCAGCCTAGATTATTTATACTTATCGCTATGGTAACATCAAATTGAAATCATTAATAATTATTGGATCTTTTTTCTAATTATCTTAATTATCAGTTCATACATGGATCTTAGAGAGATAGGATGGGATGGTATGGATTGGATTGATCTGGCTCAGGATAGGGACCAGTGGAGGGCTCTTGTGAACACGGTAATGAACCTTCGGGTTCCATAAAATGCTGGGAAATTCTTGAGTAGCTGCAGAATTGGCAGCTCCTCCAGAATGGCTCAGCTCCATGAGTAAGTAAGTAAGTAAGTAAATATCAGTTCATGCTGTCTGTTTTACAATCCAGAAGACGACTGGCTTGAGAACGTCAAGGATTTAAAGTATAAAATTTAGTTCAAATACTGGAACTCTTACCATATACAAAAATTAATTCTTCTTACACTCCATTTATTATAATCCTTCATACACAATTTGGAACATGGACACCAGGAAGCTGCACAGAAATAAATGTGAAAATGGAAATTTATTTCTGATAAAGAGATCCATAAATCTTCTCAGAGAATCGCTGTCATTGCCACTGGTATGAAAGACTAATGAAATTAGATGAATCTGCCTCTACTATGACTGGTCTTTATATCTTCATGTCCCTTACTTCCGCTACATTATAAACTAACTTGAATCAGATATTCCACTCTAACTATAGGCGCCATTTTGTTCAGACGCTGGAATTCTTACTGCATACTTTAAATGTATTACTTACAGCCAGTTTATTAATACAATCAAAGAAACTGAGTCATTCACATCATAAGTTATTGAAAGCCAAATTTGGCAACGAAATTTATTTCTTCATTAAGAGACCCATGGATAATTCTTGTCAGAGGATCTCTGAACTTAGAGCTTTCCATAAGAAACGCCTTCCGTTTCAATTGTTTGTTCTCTAATTCTACCCGTTCTTTGTTTCCTCTGTTTCATGACAAATAACTTAGAAAATATAAACCGAAATATATATATGTTTCATTATTCGCAAGAAATATATTTCTGTACATTGAAAACGAAAGATAGCATTAATATTACATTTTTCAATAGTGTTAAGTGAATAATTTTTAATGTCTGTTGTTAAATTCTTACGTGAAGTTCATCTCTTTTTCCAGAAGATGCCATAACTCTCCGAGAAAACCGGAAGGACCTTTCAGTTCATACAGTTCAGCTGCAGTGTTTGGCTGAAAAATTATGAAGGCTGTTATTATAAAACTTTTACAGCATGAAATACACGTTGCTTTATCACAACTGATGTCACACCCTCCAAGAGAAGAGATAATTCTTAGTCTCTTATAGGATATAAATAATTCTTCAAAATACTCTTCCCTTCAATAGTTAATTATTATCCACGAATATTACTGTCATCCTCATTTCATTCTACTCTATATAGCTACAAGCAGTGTCCTGTAATTAAAAGACGTTAATTTGTTATTTATATTTCCCTTCTATTTTGATTATTTCTCTTAAACTTTGTTACTGAGACAGGCGCACATCTGCTGTACCTACAATAAACGTTATCGACGAGCATAATTTTACCTGTTATAATATTAATAAAATCACAGCATGGTGTTGTGAAATTAGATTTATATTCATAATTAAATTTAACTTCTCTGTATGAGAACGACTTCTTGTCCTAGATTCTTTGAAGATGCTGGAAATATCTGTCAATAACTCAGCTGTTAATAAATGTTTCAGTGTCCCTTTATCGTTAAATGGACAGCCAAATGAGTAACCTACATATCACACATGATCTCAGGACGATAATTTTGGGTGATACTAAGAAGTGCAAACAGGAAAATGAAGTGGATTCAATATATTGGATAAGCTGCTAGTCAATCAGCAGTCGGCTGTGGGAAGTCCCTCTCAAAATTTGAGCGAAGATCTCGTGGATACCTGACAAGACTTTATCATGCGTCAAACTATATTCACAAATAATAAGTACATCACAGAAGAATAGTTACAGACTAGTATATTCGTGCTTGAGCGCATGAGCGGACAGACACACACACCTTCAGAAAAGCTGTCCTCAGAACAAGTCCGTGAAGGTTGTCCCTCCTGTGATAAAAGCTTATGTTCGGGCGGGAGAGGCCGCCATGTGGAGTCCACATTCCGAAAGGATATGTCTGCAGTGGGTATGTGGCTTTAACTCGGTACACTTCGGTGAGGACCACGACGTTGTTTCCTGCCCTCTGAACGACGAGGAATTCGCAGTCGAAAGGAATGTCAATACCAAGAAACAATTCGTCTAGAAGTTCTGTTTCCAGAAACAGCAACCACGTGGCTTCCGACATATGTACCGCTTTGGAAATCTAAACAGAAAAATATAAATTCTAGTTGAAATAACAGAGAAACGGTATATTTTTTATGAATAGGCATTTCATATCATATACAAACATATACCACGTATAGCCTTTGCGTCCAGAGACATCTGCTTGTAACTCAAGAAATTATTTTTGTTGTTTCTGGTGGCTACTTAACCGCCTCTATGGACTAATGCTCAAAGTTCCTGGCTACAGATCCAGAGGTCCAGTGTTCAATTCCCGGCACTACCAGCTTCTCTGAGAAGTAGTGTGTCTGGAACGGGGCCCACTCAGCCTCATGATGATAATTGAGGAGCTATTTCAAGGAAATAGCGGCTGCCGTCTAGAAAACCGAAATTAACAACCGTGGTGATTCGTTGAACAAGAATACGCTGTGCTAATTATGTACTTCGTTGTGATAGAGCAAAGAATTTTAGTGTTGAACGAAATATACGTATGTGTATGTTTGCATGTATGTACCAACTTTAACGGATAGAAGGTGTCGCGTGATCAGCGCAACGGATCCCCACGGCAGATAGTCTCGGTTTTCTAGACCGGAGCCGCTATTTCCTCGAAATAACATTAACTTCGCCGACAAGCGACGGTCGCTCGGTCGGTATAGTTCGCTTGTGGACTACAGATCACGGAGTTTTTTTTGTTTGTATGCATCTATGTATGTATGTACGTAATGAGCACCTCTAGTACTGCATAAGAAGAAGACGTTTATTATGAATATCTTTGCTTCTTTCTAAGTCCGCGATTTGTTGTTTAACTTACCTGAATCAAGGAGTTTCTCGTCATTTTCTCAGCATAAAGAAACACGTATAATGGCTTATTGCGTTGGCAGTCTAACATTGCAAATGACTCTAGGAACATTGGCGTGAAGGATATTAATTCTGAGATGCGTGATTCTATCAGTTGATGTACAATCGCTGTGGATGTCACGTATTGTTGCAGTTCTGTAAACAGTACGTATCGTGATGAAGACAGCATTTCTTAGTGCGAAATGTTTACAATATCGCAAAATATACAATATAGCTCACGCAGTTGCAGGTCTGAAATAGGTTGAGATGTGTACAGCTAAATGCTCTGTAATTGTGCTGGAACGTGCTGCGCTCTGACGGTGAGCCTTGGCTTAGTGGTCAGAACGTCCGATCACTGCAGGTCTGACGACACTTGTTGTTCGGCTTGATTCTGACAGGGGGTTAAGGACTACGTTAATTTCCATCATATCCGGTTGTATTCCTTATTTATAGCGTTTGTTATCACCAATTCTCACAAAATTCTACATAAAATTAACATTCCGTACGCTAAATAAAATCTTAAAGTTTGTGACGATGGCACATTAGTACAAATATTATGCATTTGGCCGTATAGAAAACCGAAATTAACGGCCGCGGGGATTCGTTTCTCTGACCATGCGACACCCTCTATCCGCAAAAGTTGGCACTAACTTCGTCGACAAGCGGCAGTCGCTCGGTCGGTATAGTTCGCTTGCAGACTAAAATCACGGATTATATATTTGGACACTGTCTATCGTCTTGTCTTTATCTAGTAACAGTCCTGTTTATTTTTCAAAACACGACGTTTCGGAGGTTGGATTCTGTCTCCGTCTTCAGGTAAAACCTACTCGGTTGGGCCCAGTCAGTAAAGCTAGTACCTGTCCAGCCTCCGAAACGTTTTGAATAATAAACAGGACTGTTTCTAGATCAAGACAAGACGATGGATAATGTCCAAAAACATATTATTATATTTGTACTAATAGAATATAGTTCTTCCTTACTAGTCGCTTAGATAGTCTCTGCACTTAATAGAACCCGATTTTCCATTATCTTTTCCTAAGAGGCTGCCACTGAACCAAATCCCGAGATAGATTAACCCAATCCATGCGCTTACATCGAATTATGTAAGAGCCATTAATCAAAATTCAGATGCTATTGATGTAGGCTCAGAGAACGGACGCCAGTCACAGCTGATATGGTAAGAGCCTACACGAGACTGCACTCTAAATAAGTAAAGTTTACTTTGGTTTCTAAATAATTAAATTGTGGTTGAAGAGTGAAGAAACATTTATTAATTGTTGCATATCTAACTCTTGTTTCTGCAATTTGTTGTTTACATTTCCTTTAAATGTCATTGCAATAGGAAATTGGTACTTAGTATGTCACAGATACGGACATTTACGATAGAATGGTGAAGAAATATACTTAGGATTTTGAATTTCATTATTGACAAAGGAGTTCTTCAGGAGATAGAAAATGTCCCGAATATATTTAAGAAACTATATTGAAAACAAGATTCTTGTGATATAAATGACTCACGTATTTGTTGAACTTACCATTCACTTTGTCATGAAGTAGAAAGATGCATCCTGATCGAAAATATTGTTTAACAGCTATCACAATATCAACTAAATCATTTACACCGAAGGCTGCACATCCACTTACTGAGAGGATCACCATTAATGTCGCCATGTTGAAACTGTTACGACGCCTGACAAAAACCAAAAGTAGATAAAGTTATATAGTGTTGAATTTTGGGGTCTCAGAACGGCGGCTTTAAAGATTAGTGTCTTCTTAGTGTGACGCCTTATAGTCACATAGATTTTTGCAGATATTTAGGATAAACGTACTGCGTTCATTCCCGGGTCGAACCATATAAACGCAATCCACTGTCGCTACTTGTATCCTGCTTCTTGCAAATTACGTACATGGTTTATCTCTCCACTCTGAAAATGGGCATCGCGTTCCTCCGAAACTTCATTGAATTTCTATGCGTTGTCATTCATAGAAGACAATAATCTCTAAGTCACATTAGTCTGATGACAGAAAGACAATACCATATCTGCATTCTTTTTTTTTATTGCTAGTGGGGTGGGACTAAGTCCCTTGTACTGCGGCCACTTCTGGCCTATTGTACTAGCTCCAGATGATAGGTGAGGGTGATTGTGAAGCAATTGATCAATAAAGATTGGCAGGGGAAACCGAAGTACTCGAGGGAAAAACCTGCCCCAGCGCCACTTTGTCCACCACAAATCCCACTTGACCAGACCCGGGATCGAACTCGTGCCGCCGAGGTTGGAAGCCAGCGACTAACCGCTTGAGCTACGGCGCGGCCCTACCTGCATTCTTACATGGAGCTACTCAAGTTAGTTCACATATCTCTCCCTTTCTTATTCCAGTTTACCAGAACACTATAACATATATATATATGTAGGTAAAAATAAATTATGCATCAAAATTACAATTAATTAATACAAAACATATAGGTGTGTTTACTATTTATCTCGGTACTCATTATGTAATATGTATTTTAATTTTTCATTGGTTCTTACCTTCAGACCGAAAAATAAATATTTATTTCATACAGCCACTATTTTGTAGCATCATATCGTATGCAAGAATTGTCTTATCAAAATTTCCATAGTTTTCTAAAAATCTATTACCATATATAATTATATTAAATGGCATTGGTGTCTCTCCACGTCACAAGTTCATGCGACTGCCATGTTGTTATTGGCCAGCTTAGGAAATTAGAAGTAACAATGTGCCATGATCCATAATGGTATAATATCCATACAAAATTTCGTGAAAATTCATCAGTTGGTTCAAACGTTATAGAGACACACAGAGAGCCTTACGATCTAATATGGCAAACTCTGATACTTGGTAGCCTAAGAATGATATACAATTAAAAATAAATTCGAAGGGAAAGGAATATAGTAATACTAACATAAAAGCAAACAAAAGTATAGAGTAAACTTAAAATAACACAAAACGTACCTCATTTTGGAAAGGCGGATGTCAAAATCAGGAACAGAACTTTATATGAACCGGTGCCCTGTCTAAAGGGAAGCTTAAAATAATGTTCAAAATGTTCCAACGCTAAAATAAAAAAGAGAAGGGAAGGTAGCTATATCCACATATAAAAGACGCATTTCTTTAATAAATAACACATTTTGAGAAATGATATACAAATTTTCTGAATTATTTTGTGATAAATATCACCTTCTAGGAATAGTATCATCCAAAGCCATACTACAATCCCTAAGAATGAGAAAATTGATTATTATGCCCATGCAGTATGTTTGGTCTAGTTTTATTTAATTTACCCTGATCCTGACAGTTATATTAGGAATAAGACTCGTACAATGAAGGCATGACTGATGAGGAGGACTATCAGCCAGTGACACCAGCCTGCAGGACGTACTTCCCGTGTCAATACAAGAGCATTGTGATGGAGATAGACCGCTCGATCGTAGTTTATGGATACCTAGACACTATCTGCTACATATTTTGTTACCTGTTGTACACATATCAGTTCCTTCTGAGCTTCTAATATCCTTTTAAGAACGAAGTTCAATCAATTACATTGTCAGTATTTGATACTTCATGAAGCGGAATAAGCAATTTAAATTCAGAAGTATTTCTTTGAATCATTGCCTCTGTCCCATATAATATATTACTTACTTACTTACTTACTTACTCATGGAGCTGAGCCCTTCTTGAGGAGCCGCCAATTCTGCAGCTACTCAAGAATTTCCCAGCATGTTATGGAACCCGAAGGTTCATCACCGTGTTCACAAGAGCCATCCACTGGTCCCTATCCTGAGCCAGATCTATCCAATCCATACCATCCCATCCTATCTTTCTAAAATCCATTCTAATATTGTCCACCCACCTACGCCTTGGTCTTCCCTGTGGTCTCTTTCCTTCTGGCTTTCCCACCAATATCTTATACGCATTCTTCGTCTCCCCCATTCTTGCTACATGACCTGCCCACCTCAATCTTCTTGACTTAGTCATTCTAATTATACTTGGAGAAGAGTACAAGGTATGAGGCCCCTCATTATGCAGTTTTCTCCAACCTCCTGTGACTTCATCTCTCTTTGGTCCAAATATTCTCCTCAACACCCTGTTCTCAAACACCCTCAGTCTATATTCTTCTCTTAATGTCAGAGATCAGTTTCACACCCATACAGAACCACAGGCAGAATTATAGTTTTTATATTCTATTTTTTATGTTTTTGGACAACAGACGAGAAGACAAAAGGTTCTGGACTGAATGGTAGCAAGCATTACCCGAGTTGAATCGCCTCTTAATTTCCTCCTGAATCAGGTTTCGATCTGTTATCGTTGTTCCCAAATATCTGAACTGTACCACATTTTCAAAACATCTGTTTCCTATCTTTATGTCATGATTTTGCCCTGCATTTTGGTGACGAGACAGTAACATATACTTAGTTTTCTCTGTGTTTACGTCTAGACCAACCTCTTTACTTGCGTCAATTAAAGTTTGTGTGTTTTCCTTTATGGCATCTATATTATCACCCAGTAGATTCACATCATCGTCGTAGACCAACAGCTGATATGTTCCGTTTAGTTTCAGTAATATATTACATGTTCGTATTTATGATGAATAACTGAAGCATAACAAAATTGTATTTAAGCATCCTGTTGCATTTCTATAACATTAACATAGAATATATATGTTACAGTTCTGCCAACAATGCAACCACTACACAATCACCTACGCTTACTAAATACATACAATCTTTGAAACCTCATACAAAGTAGTCGCATTGATGACGGAACTGTAATATAAATAGTCTATGTGAATGAAACATAAACATTAGGAAGACCAAGACGTAGATGGGTGAAGAGTACTAAAATGGTTTTCAGAGAGACAGGATAAAGACCAGTGGAGGGCTCTTGTGAACAGGGTAATGAACATTCGGGTTGCATAAAATACTGGGAAGTTCTTGATTAGCTGCATAATTGGCAATAAAACAGAGATTATGAATACATGGAAAGAATATTTGAACAATTATTAAATCAAAATCAGAACATGAAAGATAACGAGGACAATGAAGAAGAAAATACACACGAAGGAGAAGGGGAAGAGGAAGAGATAATAGAGCCTCCAACAAAGGAAGAAATGGAAGATGCATTAAAGGAACAAAAACTAAATAACGCACCAGGAGGAGATAACATACCAGCAGAATTATTGAAGGCAGGAGGACAAGAAGGAATAATAGCACTCCACAGAATTATAAATAAAGTGTGGGAAGAAGAAAAGATACCAGAAGATTGGGGAAAGAGCATTATATGTCCCATATTTAAAAAAGGCGATAAATTAACATGTAGTAACTATAGAGGTATATCATTACTACCGACAGCATATAAAATTGTAACAAGGATACTAAAAAAGAGACTGGATCCATATATAGAAAAAATAATAGGAGAATATCAATCAGCATTTCGACCCAATAGGTCAACAATAGACAATTTATTCACCCTGAGACAGATAACGGAGAAATGCTGGGAATTTAATACAGATATTTACCTATGCTTCACAGATTTTAAACAAGCATATGATACAATAATAAGGAAGAAATTAAGGATGATTATGCCCATTTTTGGTATTCAAATAAAACTAAGTAAAATAATTAACTTAACCATGACAGAAACAATCAATCAAGTTAAAATCCAGAACCAGTTAACGGAATGCTTTAAGACAAATGAAGGATTAAAACAGGGAGACAGTTTGGCATCATCACTCTTTACTTTGGTACTGGAATATATAGTTAGGAAATGTAATGTGGACACAAGGAACACAATAGTGTATAAACAAACGCAAATAATAGCGTATACGGATGATATTATTATAGTATCGAGATCCCTAGGAGCAATGAAGGAGACATATAAAGAAATAAAAGCCATAGCAAAAACAACTGGCTTAGAGGTGAATGCAAATAAAACTAAAATGCTGATACAGTCCAGAAGGAATCCAAGGCAAACTGGATAAATTAACACCGAAGGAGACGGGACAGAAATAGTTGAAGACTTCATATATTTAGGAACGAAATTCCACAAAGATGGAGAGGAAAATCATGAAAGAACAATAAGAATAAAACTAGCGAATAATGCATATTTCTCGTTACTCTCAGTTTTTAGATCAAAAGATATACACCGAGCTATTAAAACAAAGGTATATAAAATGATAAGACCGGTGCTTTATTATGGATGTGAGGGTTGGACGCTAAACAAGGAAGAGGAATCAGTCATCAATTCATTCGAGAGGAAAATCCTAAGACGAATTTATGGACCAATAAAAGAGAATGGCATATGGAGAATAAGATATAAAAAAGAGTTATACAAATTATATAAGGAGCAAGAGATCTCAGTGACGATAAAGCTAAAAAGATTGCAATGGGCTGGGCATGTACAGAGAATGGATAAGGAGCGTATTATATAGTACAATAGGCGGCAGGAGACATGCTGGGAAACCAAGAATTCGATGGATTGATGCGGTGGAAGGAGATGCGAAGAAGTGAATGGGTGTAAGGAACTGGGAGAGAGCAGCGCAGGGCAGAGAGGACTGGAGAGGCTTGATAAAGGGGGCCAAGGCCCGACATCGGGCTGTTACGCCGTAGAAGAAGAAGAAGAAGAAGCTGCATTATTGGCGGCTTCTCAGAAAGTGCTAGCTCCATAAAGTTAGTTAATTGAGAATTGTTTAAATTGTATGAAAGTAAAGGACGTAATTAAATTGTAGCTCATAAAATATCTTCCAATATTAATCATATTCAATTTTTTTAACTGACCAAATTTTATTCTTGTTTTGAGCTTCTCATCTTCTGAAATGATTGACATGCCCCAAATGTCACATTTTGGGAACATTTGAATATATTTTTATTTCGAGTTGCTTCCAAAATTTAAAGCAATTTAATTGTTTTTAATGCTGAAAATACTGACATTTCCGTTCTTACCAAGTTACTGCAGTTTGACATTTCGAAATTTCCTAAGTTTTGATTTCTTGAAAATATTCCCAGTTTCGCGACATTTCTGCCTTAATACTAGGTATAAATTTTCATAAAATAATTACAAATCTGAATTTCTCATTATTGTCCTGAACTTCCTTTCGTTTTGCTTCTTTCTGCTTTCTCAATTTTTCGTTCTTTCGAACACATAAAATTGTTCATGAAACATTCTGTCTTCTGGGACATAACTCGATGTAGTCCATTGAAATTCAACAGACTTTCCGAAGGAACATGTCGTCTCGATCTTAAGGGTCGAAGATTAAGCCAAAGAAGAGACCAGCGTGATGCAGTTAGAAATCGGAAGTCTATCACCGAGACTGTAGACTGTAAACTGCTATTTCAGTGCAGAATATAAGTGTCGCAGAGCGGCACTGTGTGCCCCATATTTACAAGCGATAAGTATTGATAGGGATAGCATGATTCCAGTCAACAAGATCATGAAAAGCGGAGCTGTATCGTGTAGATCGACAAACAATTTGGACTCCTCTTTTGCGTACCCTAACTTGAGGGCGAAATGCTTGTAAATTCCCTGGAGAATCCCAGCGCGCCGCATTGTCTGCAGTCTGTAACAGTTGGAAAGTAAGACGTTACGTAAGTTTTACAATGAAGTTTAAGCTTTACCTCTGGACGAGTGAGAAAGAAATATCGCATGTGGAAGGATAATTCATAGTTTCTTTCCATCAGTCTTGTAGAACTGTACTGGTTTTAAAGACACTTACTTGTAGTTCAAGAGCCCTAGATAAGGGCTTTTCTTTTCTATGACGATGGCTATGAATCCAGGGAATAAGGCCCGAGGAATCATTGATACACTGCAGTTTGGCCTATATCCTTCCTTTAGCAGATTGTAATCGGTCGTCACGTGAGCATATTTCTTATCGTAACAGAGTTGCTGTAATCCATCTATGTCGGTGTTGCTAAGCGTGTTCTCATGTGGAGCGATAAGTCTTTCATAGATATTTTGGAGAAGTTTCACTCCGGATTTCTGAAAAACACAATTCGTTATGTCTCAAAACCACAGTCTCTTTTGCAACATGAGGATCAGTTTTCTCCCTACTTGGTACACCTGCCTTGAAAGGTTTATATTTAGGCAGCAGGAGTCGGGATAGCTCAGTCAGTATACCGACGGACAACGGGCTGGACTGCCAAGGTTTGATTTCCGGCTTTGGGGCTCACCCAGCGCTCTATCCAGGGAGTACCGTCGGCTCTTTTCCCGGGAGTGAAGCCACAGGGGCCTTTCTCACCTGAAGATTTTGAAACTGCACTATTCCACAACGGCTCTTCAGCATTCCGATCACATGCCAGAAGCGCTCAGTGATACCTGCAGCAATCCAGGCGCGACCTGTAGATTTATAAAAAGCTGCACGTATTATTTGGCTATTATCAGTCGCTATGCAGACCTCTGCGGCTTCTATTGAAACAAAGGGAGATAAGTCTACATGGTTTTCTAACTACATTAATTATAAAATGATTTTGTTGGACATTTTCTGTTGCCTTGATTATAATAAAATTGTATTACACTTATTTATATATGTTCTCTATAGCTTCCTTCACTGCCCAGTGATGGAGACTAGCTCTAACGGGTCAAATTGAGTATGATTACCTCCAGTGTTTCACCTGATGACGGAAGCAGATACAGGTTCCGAAATATCGAATAATTTTAGCTGTACCTAAGCCAGTGAGGAGCTGGGATAGCCCAATCGGTATAGCGACTGACTACAGGCTGGACGACCGAGGAGTAGGAGTTCGAGTCCCGGTACGATTAAACATTTTCTCTTTTCCACGCCGTCCAGGCCAGCACTGGGGTCTACCTAACCTCCTATACAACGGACACTGGGAGTAAAGCTGACAACTAACCTCCAACTAGTACCGAGGTCAAAAAGATGTGGATATCCACTCCCTCATACGTCTTCATGATGTAGTGCTTAATTAGTTAATCAAAGGGACAAATTTACCTTTCATACGTAAGCCAGTGGACAATGTCAAACACAATAACTGCATAGCTACCAGCAGATCATTGTCAAAAGTACTTAGTTGATCAACTAGGGCGTTCGGTACCTAATCATTGTGTATTATAATCCACAGTTTCTGCGTTCCTGAACTGTATCAGACCTACAGAACAGTAGAATAGCTCACTTTGAAGTAATCCATTGTCGAAGAATTTCTAACCATCCCCAGCTTATACGACCCATCCTCTAGGAGTTCTTCGAAACTGGTAAAGGGCAGCACAGGATCTTGCAAAGTCAGGTCAGTGATGAAAGCTGCAGAGTAGTAAGAGAGCAATAGGTAGGATGTGACATACATCGCCACGAACGTCAGACGCATTGAACTTGTTCTGGGAGAGACGCTGTCGGCTGTGGGCAGAGAAAACACAGAGCCAGAAGGCTGTAAACCTTACAAGGTATATTTTTGGACGGGGAGATTTTTCATGTGGAAAAGTCTGTTCTCATATATACAGTAAGATAATGAATGATGTTATCCTACAGGCCTACATAAGTTACTATCCTAATTATTTTTTTATTTATTTCTTTTTAATACTTTTATTTGGGATCTCTTAATTCTTTACGATATATCTTTGTACAACGAGCTTGAACTAACCAACGACTGTATATGCTGCGTCTTGTTGACTACAATATTCGAACAGAATTAAACTCAGTCATTTTAAGAAATTTAATGAGAGTTGCTGGATGAAAAAATTAGGAAAAGAAGAAATGAAAGTTTGTGATGACAATATTTAGATTTTTCTAATTTTATGTGTTCAGATCTTTCAGGAAACAAGCATTCATTCAGTTCATTCAGTTATTTATATTCCTGTTGCTTCCTCTGGAGCATAGGTCATCCGTGAAACTCTTTGTTTCACTTCTGTTTCTTAATCTTTTACACAGTCAATAGTACTCCTTGGACGAGTGATTAGCCCGTCGCAAGGTCGCTACCTACTCAGGACAACACAAACACAGGATAAACGTAGGCAGGACATCAATGCCTCGAGTGGGATTCGAATCCACGATCCTAGTGTTCGAGCGAGATTCATTCTGTTAAAGTTGGGAGATCTCACACTGAGGTGGCTTTGAGATGTAAAGAATGATTTACAGGTATGAAAATGAAGAGGTGGTGATGAAAGGTAAATAATAAAATCGAAAAATAATATGTCGCAAAAGAGGTCAAGGTTCCTGAATGAACAAGACACCACAAAACACACAGCAAGAAAGAACACAACGCACCAACTCCAACACACAAAAACATCAAATGGACCTGCATATATATTAACAACAGAAGATAGAAATTTTCTCCTCAAAAAGATTTTTAACACCTGATTGTGGCCATATTGGCCGAAAAATATAGTGAACTTTTAAACCTTTAAAACTTTTAAAGTTAACAAGCTATATGGTACTTGATGTTGCATGTAAGACTGTGAATAAAAGACTCTAAATTAAACCATGTGTCTTTAATAATGGGTAAAACTGGTACCTGTCTGGCAGAATGCACCAATGACAATTAGCGTGGCTTTCATGAGACTGTAATCCCCCTCAACTCGAAGCCCATGACGAAGATGCAATAGGTTTATCGATGCAAGGCTGACAGCAAGTAGTGCCATAGTGACACTTACAGCAACCCAAAGTCTCAGAGAAAATGATTGAAACATATTCCATTTGAAGTCATAGGTGCTAGGTGTCTTAATTATCGTTTGAAATCTGTAAGATACAATCATTCTGTAAATATACTAAGACATGAAACATTTTCATCTTTAATAAACTACAGCATCATAATAATTTGCTACTAATTTAACGAAGCAAAGAAATATTTGTAACCTTAAACAACAAGAGGTGTTACTTTGAACTGTTCTTAAAACTTTAATTCTGCAGTTCTCCAGAAATATATTTTAAATTCCTGCTTTAAAATCATTGGGGGTTCACATTCTTAACGAACCGCCTGAGGGTTCAAAGAGGATGGGGGACAATAGAGTGATATAATGGGAATATAACATGAGTTAAGTCGATTAGTAGTTTCCATGTACAATTTTCAGTTAATGCTTCTTAACATCCCTTACAGCTCCTTAAAGCTTCTGCTTAAGAGAACAATTGGCTCAGGAGGAACACTTAAGACTTATGTTCCTCAGCTCTAACGTTCCAATATCAGCCAGAGCACTGACTATCCTCTCTGAGGCTCATCGTAGCTTTCTTCAGTCCCTCCAGACGAATGACAGATTATTGCCTTAAACTAGGTCACGAATGCACATTTCTTGAAATCGATCGTGTTCTGTATTGTTACATAATGCCTGAACGCCGGAATAGTTCATTGCTAGGCAGTGACTCAGTAAACAGATTCCTGCGGAAATGAACACGCGCGCAACAGTAGAAGAGCGGTGTTTTCTATGTGGCCCGTGCCGCAACTGTTGCTATGCAGATGCTCGGTAAACACCTTCCTCAACAATAGAAAGGCCTAGTTTTCTGCGTAGTCCTTGCCGAGGGATTATAAAAAGGATTAAGAAAATTGTTTGAGTTAGTTGAATTTCGAGACGGCAGCCTGCCATAATTTGTGCTTGGGAGCAGAATAATTGAACTGAGAAATTGAGGCATCAGAATTATTGAGTGCAATTAAGCTGAAAGTCTGACTGTAACGAGAAGACTTCATGTACGATATTTGGAGTGTATAATTCAGTGAGACTCTTATAGTTCCTGTGTTAAAATCCGTTGCCAAGAAACGGATAGTGGTGACTGTAATAGACTAAGGACACTAGTGTTGGCAGCAGTGAAATGTGAAGTGCGTACATTAGCGGTAGGGCTGTATTACTTGTAGTTACGAGTTGAGTGTGTAAAGTGAGTGCAATAGATTCAATCATCCAATCCATACCCCGTCTAATAGTCAAGTACCCATAAATCGTGACAGTATGAAACCCTTCGACGCATTATAACTTGATTTCCTCACAGTACGGTTAAATAAATAAGTAACTACAATAGCACAAAGGAACGCAGCCGTGCACACCCTCCCCGAGAGAAGCTCGAATGCCCCCTTGACCCCATTCCTAAGCAATCCGCACTGCGCAGTTACCTCACTTGCAGTACTGGAACCGAGAAATCCACTACATCCAACCTCCTGGCTGTCATGGAGAATACCACATTGCTCACTTCCGCTTCTCTCCTCTGGAACAGCCCAAAAACTCCGGTCCAAGTGCCGTTGGGCGCTCTTTCCCCTCCGGCGTTCTCATCCGTGGGGAAATGATATTCAGTGCTGCACAGACAGAAATACCTCTAGCTCAGGCTGATATTGCGACATTTAGGCGGAACTCCAGCGCAATGAACCCTACGTGTTCCTAAAGCCTTCCTCAGGAACGTAAACTGCAGAGTAATGTTCTACGGCATTACCCAAACAACACCAATCTTATGAAGAAAGTCGTCTTCTGGGATCTGGCGCCGTGTATTCTTGGTTTTAACCGACGTTTCGGAGGAACGTATCGCCTCCACCTTCAGGGCAGGTGAATCGCTGTAGCTACTGCTCTTTGTATTCGCATCGCGATTTACCTACCATGAAGATGGAGGTGATACGTTCCTCCGAAACGTCGGTTAAAACCAAGAATACACGGCGCCAGATCCCAGAAGACGACTTTCTTCATNTGAGTAAGAGAATATTCTCTTCTCCACAGCGTCCACTCCGGCTCCGGAATCCTACCCATTTCCTGGGGTTTAAGGCGGCCTTAACATGAAGGTCATAACTTACCTCCTAGAGTTGAAACTAAGAACGCGTCTTAACGGTGTGATGCTTAATTATACACAGGAAGTACTTATTTTTTTATTTTTTTTAATTCGCTGATTGGGGGGGGGGGGGGAGTNGTCCAACTGGGTCCACTCGGCACGCCGGCCACTGATTGGCCTATTGTAACCTGCCCCGGGTGATTATGATGATGGAGAATTTGGTGGAATGAAGAGTGGCAGGGGAAACCGAAGTACTCGGAGAAAACCCCTCCTCAGCGCCGTCCACGATAAATCCCACCTGACCAGACCCGGGATCGAACAACATTTAGGACATGTCATATCGCGGCCTTTTTTGCTTTCATACCGTGATAGGTTGCAGATAAATACCAAGGTATCAAGGGAATACAGGAACTTCATCTTCAGGGCCGAACTATCCACCCACAGATGATGACGGTTACCGTCGCACAAAGCTTACTCCATGATACAGGGGCAGCTCTACTATATATTCAGATCACTAACTGACATCGGCTTAGAAAACAGGAATAGACTTTATAAGATTATCCGCGTGAAAATTTGCAGGATACAACGGCCCAGAAGGCCACAGCACAAAATTACAGCCGTGAAAACTTAAATATTGAGATATTATAAAAAATTTGTTCAGACACTGGAATTCTTACTGCGTACTGTAAATGTATTACTTACGGTCCATCATAGAAATCTCACCATTCGCATCAGAAGCTGTCTAAAACAAATTTGGCAATGAAAACTTATTTCTTCATGAAGAGCCCCAAGGGTAATTCTTGTCAGACAATCGCTGAACTTCTAATTTTCCATGGGAAATAATTTCCATTTTCATTTATTAGTCTTAAATGCTACCAGTTGTTTGTTTCCTCTATTTTATAATTTACCGTGGGGCAGATGTTGCATGACGATTATAAATGGATTCCCTCAACACAAATTGCACCCATTTCTTTATTCAAATAAAATATATTTATTTACATTAAAAAAGAAAAGTATAATTAATATTGCATTTTTAAATAAAGCGTTAAATGAATAATTCTTAATATCTGCTGCTATTAATTTCTTACGTGAAGTTCATCTCTTTTTCCAGAAGATGCCATAATTCTCCGAGAAAACCAGAAGGACCTTTCAGTTCTTGCAAATCAGCATTGCTTCGTGGCTGAAAAAAGTTATAAAGGCTAAAATTTTAGAAGTTCTAGAGCATAAGATACATCATGTTTTATAGCAGGTAACATCTCACATCAACCACGGGCTTTTGCCGATGTTTCTTGCTTAGTAATAGACTATAGACTATAAACGAGTCCTCCAGAATACTCTTCTTTTTAAAGTTCATTGTTACCTTTCAGTTAATTGCAGTGCATGGCAGTAATGTGCTGTCGGCTTCCGCCAGCACAGTCACTATTCGTCAGTTCTTCCCTTATCTCCTGATTTCGTATTATATATCATATTTCATTCGCCCCTATGTAACTCCAAACAGTGTCTTATAACTAAGAACCATTTATTTATCACAGATATTCTCCTCCCATTTGCTTATTCTTCTTTGGTCTTGTTTCTGAGACAGAATCATAACTGTATATCCCCCTAAAATATGTTTTTGACAAGTATAATATTACCTATTGATTTACATGGGTATGAAAATAGGTCTGCCACTGTCAGAAAATAAGATAGGCCGACAAAAATGGTATTGAGAGCAATATTTAGATCTAATATAGAGGAAAACACAGGCAGGTGGAAAAATATTACTGATAAAATTCTTCAAGATTTTTTAACTCGAAATGAAATATAGTTATGGTTACCAAATTTAGGATGACGTAACGGATGGGGCATTCATCAATCACGAGAGAGAATGAGAACCTCAAGAAATGTGGCCAATTAGAGAACTGGCGTGGACATTGATAGTATTAAAATTGATTTGAAATAACTAGGGTATGATTGTGTGGGCTGGATTCATGTAACTCGCTATAGGGTTGGGTTTCTGAACATAAGCCGAATTCTCGCGATCGTCAAATTTCGGCGGTATTTCTTAAATACATGAAGGCTCATCTGCTTCTCAATGAAGACGCTGCTTCGTAGAATTAGTTGTTAAAACTTCTATATTTATGTAATGCCGGGTGTTCTAATTGATAAATTGTTAATTGGAGTAATTAGTACCCATCCCTAATCGTAAATTCCTCCTACTAGAGTTATAGCTGTTCCTAGACAGTAGTTAGCAGATGTTGCAACAAATTAGACGGCCAGGCGTGTGAACACAAAGTTAGAATACACAGTGTAACAGAATGCTACAGTATAATATCAGTTATTAGTAACTATTAAAATGTCGCTTTCTCGTTTAAGTGTACAGCTGAATGAGTAATTAGCAAATCACATTTTGTCTCAGGAGCGTAATTTTGGATGTTACTACGAAGAACAGCATGCCAAATAAAGTGGATTGTTTTAATGCCCTGGATAAACATTTGTTCCAAATCAGACAGCTATGATTGGTTTCTGTTGAGATTGAGAATACGTGATAAGACTTCATCATGCGTCAAACTATATTCACAAATAATAAGTATATCACAGAAGAATAGTTACAGACTAGTATAATTTCGTGCTTGAGTGTATGAGCGACAGACACACACACCTTCAGAAAAGCTGTCCTCAGAACAAGTCCGTGAAGGTTGTCCCTCCTCTGATAAAAGCTTAAGTTCGGGCGGGAGAGGCCGCCACGTGGAGTCCACGTTCCGAAAGGATATGTCTGCAGTGGGTATGTGGCTTTAACTCGGTACACTTCGGTGAGGACCACGACGTTGTTTCCTGCCCTCTGAACGACGAGGAATTCGCAGTCGAAAGGAATGTCAATACCAAGAAACAATTCGTCTAGAAGTTCTGTTTCCAGAAACAGCAACCACGTGGCCTCCGACATGTGTACCGCTTTGGAAATCTAAACAGAAAATTGTAGTTAGTATAGTTGCTATTAGTTATAATAAAACGATATATTTGTATGTAAATAAGGATTCCTTGACATATATAGCTTTTTATTATTATTCTTAGTCGGGTGAGACTGAGTCTGTTTGGTACTGACCACTAATGGCCTACTGTACCAGCCCCAGATGATAGGTGACGGTGATTGTGGAGCAATTGGTGGAATGAAGATTGGCAGGGGAAACCGATGTACTCGGAGAAAAGCTGTCCAGTGTCACTTTGTCCACCACAAATTCCACTTGACCAGAACCGGGGTCGAACCCGGGCCCCCGTGGTGGGAAGCCAGCGACTAACCGCTTGAGCTATGGCATGGCCTACATACATAGCTTAGTTTATGTACAAGTATATTGACCCTACATATACCGTATATATATTGTAACGTGTCGGCAAACCAGAGGAGTAACTTCTATGGAAACGCCAGAACAGACCGTTGCATAAGAAGTAACAATAGCGATACTGTAATTCCAACAGTGAGCTGTTGTATCGAGAACATCGAATCTCCACGGTAACGACAAACAAAGCAACATCTCCATGGTTATAACAGAAGGTTCATTTGCCCAGCAGCGGCGAGGGGATAAATAGGCCAGCTTCGATGAGAAGCCTTCAGTCTCGGAATAGTCTTCGAAGAAGAAGGCTTCGGATCGCCCGTCTAAGAAGTCAGTTTGGAATATCCGTCTGAGTCCAGTATCGCCGGGATATTGTAAGCAGTGCTGGTAACGCTGCAAGTGCAAATGATTGTAATGTGTGTAAAGCGTGAGCGAACGAAATAAATTCGCTATATCAAAGGACGGCGTGAACTTATTTGTAGCGTGACACACGAAACACGCTACAATATATATATATATACTCTTTTCAGTCTATTGTTCTATTGCAAGCACAAAATTACTGAAATCGTGTTAATGCCATTTTTGTCTAAGCACTACACTAATAATATGAAAGTTTCGACGTTATATATTATCGGCACTAAGAGCGTCGTTAAATAAGAAACATTAAAATTAAAATATGTATTTCTAAGAATCAAGTAAAGTCTGTTTATATATGTTTTCATATGATTCTTTCCAGATATTTAACTATGAACGCCCTCAGGTACATATATTACTTTTATGCGTAAAATAAATTATTTCAGTTATAATTTTATTAAAACACTGAACTAGTTTCTGGTTTGTTAAACCCGTAGCTCCTTTACAACTGTGCATTTGAAAATAAATTTCCTTTTCAATTCTCACAAAATGTCTTAACCAGAATGCAGTGTGAGAATTATACCACTTTTTCTCCCAGTGGAAGGAGTTCTGAACGTGTTAAAGCAAAATGTATATATGTATTGAGTACCTCCAGTGCTATATAGCAAGAGAACCCTTATTATGAGCATGTTTGCTTCATTTCGAAGTTTTCATACTTACCTCTATCAACGAATTTCTTGTCATTTTCTCAGAATAGGGAAACACGTATAATGGCTTATTGCGTTGGCAGTGGAGCGTTTCAAGTGAATTCATCAACATCGGGGCGAACAAGATAACTATTGACACCTGACATTTCATCAGTTGACGTGCAATCGCTGTGGATGTCACGTACTGTTGCAGTTCTGTAAGAAGTATCGTGATGAAAACAGAATTTCTTAGAGCAAAACGCTTACAACATCACAAAATATTGAAGATTATTCATGCATTTGTAGGTCTGAAATTAAGATTAAATGTCTGCTCCTAAATTCTCTTTAATCCAACACATCTAACGACACTAACTTCTCGGGGGGGTTCTGACTGGGGGTTAAGAGATAATGTAGACCGAAGCATTATCGTGGAAATCACGACCTCCCAAGTGTTGCTTCACAGGTCTTAACAAAACGAAGCCCTGCGGGGCAAAATCAGAACTATGGGGCGGAAGATCCTTAAGTTCCCACCTACCGTATTTACGCGTGTATAGGCCGCAGCACAATTTTCAGACAGAAATTACAGAAAATATAATATTCTTGGAATATTATTTCAGGAGTAGAACACCCTGTATTACTAATTATAAATATAATTTTTTTAAATGAAGTGTGATTTCGAATATTTCGAATATAAGCCGCACCCCAGTTTTCCTCTTGAATTTTTGGCAAAAAATGTGCGGCCTATACATGCGTAAATACGGTATATTAATACAAACGTTACGGCCTAGGGTATCTTACATTTGAACATCCATCGTCCGTATAATATTAAACTGAAATTTATAAAATACACGTGCATATATCTGGGATTCCTTCACCTCTTAGCTCCTGATGGTCATATCATGCAATATCTATCATAAACTCTAACCTACCCCTCATAGCTAAGTAAGTACCACAAAACCTGAGGCCATAATATTGGAGTAGATTAATTAGAAAACTTATTTGGACTGGTCAGTTACGTCGGAAGAACTTCTTGCTTCCATCGTCACGGCAGAAGCGATACGTCGGTAACTACATACGAAAATACACGATATCATGGTCCAAGAGACCAGGATCGAAGTCGTCAGTAGAATTTCCTCTGATTTATAAATAACGTGGCTGTCGGTGAAGAATGCACGAATTATAAAGGTAGTCCTATGTTGTGTAATTCATTCGGCCCGGTGTTTGCGTCGAGGTGCTTAAATTTCCGTCCACTCTCACTGTAATGGCAAGTACATACTTAGCCATACTTACATACTTACATACTTCGTAGCCACGGACAGACTGTCATATCATATTTAATAGGTGGATCGAAAAATGTACCTACGATTCTAAATTTATGTATTAGCAAATAAATTTTATAGAATTGATTTTTTTTCTATGTGCATTTTATAAATGTTATTTAAAACAAATTTTGTAACAAAAATTACTCTGAAATTTGTTGACCTTACCGTTGTGTTGATCATGAAGCACACAGACACATCCTGATCGAAAATATTGCTTGACAGCTATGACAATGTCAACCAAATTATTTACGCTGAAGGCTGAACTTGCCACTAGTAGGATGATCCCTGCTATTGGTGCTATGCTGAAGCCGTTACAACACCTAAAAATATTCAAAATTAGTAGTGTCTCGTTATTTTGACTTCAGAAAGACAGGCTTATGTCTAGAGTGTTGCACCAAGTCAGTGCATCTAGGCCTATCTCACTAACATCCGTCGCTCCCATTTGCTAAATCATGATCTACATACAGAGGATCCCAAAAGATACATACAAATTTCGAAGTACAGACTATATACATAATTTATTGGCATAATTTCGGTTCGACTTAGAAAATGTTCTTAGGCAACGTCAATTAAAATATGTGCTTCTTTTGAAGAATACTGGCTTCAGGGTTGTGATACCTTGTTTTTCGGAGACAGCCCGGCGTTTCGGACGAACATATCGCCTCAATCTTCAGGGTCGAAGAATAAGCGAAAAATGAAACCAGCAGGAGCCGGCGGAAAACTAAAGAGGGCGCTTAGCCCTTTCTGGAAACGTCGAGCTCCGTCCGAAATACACGGCGTTACAACCCAGAAGAGCTCACAGATGGCGGTAAGGTTGTCAGCCTTAAGCGCCCACCGCCCTTTACCCCCAAGAAGATCCCTGGTACTCATTTCTGTTAGAGGCTGAGTCGACCCCAGGACCATAGTGCGGCTGTTAGGATTAGGTCAATTGAAAAATCCATTGACTCTATATGTTCCGATATTCACAACTTCCACACTAAGCAAATAACAAACAATTGAATTTCATTTGTTTTTCATCCCCTGCTTAAGCATTATTAAGAACGATATCAATACAATATAGACTAATATCATCATGAAAATAGGATGCCATCAAGCGATTTGTTAGTAGATCATTTCAAAGTGTATCAACATGTTAAATAGCATTAAGATTGCCTGGACTCGTAGCTCGCATAGTAGTAATGAAATTGTATTCATTTACTGAAGTTACATAAACAAATATTGAGTGTGAGTTCGGGCGGGTTGTGGAGGAGACTACTGCCATAGTTGATTCTTAATTTTATTTAATATCAGGGAATTGCCTTAAATAGGAAAGTACTGCCCCCATTCCAATCCGCGCCATTTTACCATATACAAGTATAAACACTTCATATCACCCAACTCTAGAAACCGCTCATGGGACTAAGCACTTCTTGAGAAGCCGCCAATTGTGCAACTACTCAAGAAGTTCCCAGCATTTTATGGAACCCGTAGGTTCAATACCGTGTCCACAAGAGCATCAATCCAAGCCATACAATCCCATTCTACATCTCTAAGATTCATTTTAATAATGCCCACCCATCTACGTCTTGTTCTTCCTAGTGGTCTCTTTCTTTCTGGCTTTCCCACCAATATCCTANCCTCCACTGGTCCTATTCTGAGCCAGCTCAATCCAATCCATACCATCCCATCCTATATGTCTAAGATTCATTTTAATATTGCCCACCCACCTACGTCTTGTTTTTCCTAGTGGTCTCTTTCTTTCTGGCTTTCCCACCAATATCCTATATGCACTGCTCCCTATTCTCATCCTCCTTGACTTGATCATTCTAATTATGCTTGGAGAAGAGTACAAGTTATGAAGGTCATGGATTGTTCTTCATGGAATTAGTATAATTTACAGTGGTTTGTTTGTAAGTTATGCTGATTCTATGAAACAGAATCAAACCTTGAAAAGCTCGTAGTCGTTCATGTAGTCAGTAATTTCTCCACTTTTCTCGGGACTTAAAATTTTATTACCATCTTCAGACGTCCCTATCCTGAACCAGACAATCGTGCTCCACAATCTGAGGACCCTTCCCTTTAAAATTTATTTCAATATTTATCTCTCATCTACGCCTAGTTCTAGCAAATCGTTATTCCCCTCGGTTTATATGACTAACATTTCTATTTCGAGCATATACAGCATTGATAAGTGACCCACTTTCCAGTTAACCATCCGCTTGCAGCATTAAGTGATATTATCGGTACGTTAGCTGACCTGACCCGTGAAGCGCTGTATCTACATGCAGCTATCGACAGCTGACATAGCACGCAAGATTGAAGTAGATGATACTGAATAATACCTAGCTCAGTGTTCTTACGATATGCACAAATCAGGTTACCTTTGGTCAGCTAAATAAAATTCAGAAAAAATACTTTGAAATTTGTAAAGTCTATTGGCTCTCAGGGAAAGGAGGAGGCGTTCTTATGTTTTCTTCTGTAGTCAAACAGACTGTACTGGAGTTCATCATAGCTTATTTTTTACAATTCTAGACGAGTAACGACTCACGTTTCTGAGTCAGCTACAGGTGTTGAAGATTCTTATAATTTCTTAAATTATAAAACATTTTATCCAATACAAAACGATATTTAGTTTCGTTAATACACTCTTCTCCAAGTATAATTAGAATGATCCAGTCAAGGAGGATGAGGTGGGCAGGTCATGTAGCACGAATGGGGGAGACGAGGAATGCGTATAGGATATTGGTGGGAAAGCCAGAAAGAAAGAGACCACAGGGAAGACCACGGCATAGGTGGGTGGACAATATTAGAATGGATTTTAGAGAGATAGGATGGGATGGTATAGATTCGATAGGTCTGGCTCAGGATAGGGACCAATGGAGGACTCTTGTGAACACGGTGATGAACCTTCGGGTTCCATAAAATGCTGGGAAATTCTTGAGTAGCTGCAGAATTTGCGGCTCCTCCAGAAGGGCTCAGCTCCATGAGTAAGTAAGTAAGTAAGTAATATACTCCATCTTAAGTTGGATGTGAGACTCATACAGCGGTGGTTATGAATAGTTCTCTTCTCTGACATAGAAGGCCCTGATATCAGATGAAGATCAACTGACGTTTCGGAGAAACTCATCGCCTATACATTTCCAGTTGAGGTGTAAGCCCAACAAGAAACAAGCTGCCTGCTTCATACTCGTTTCTTACTTCACTCGTTACTCGATCCTAAAATTGGAGGCGATTTTTTCCTGCGACACGTCAGTTGACCTTCAACGGACTAGACTGCATTATATCCCAGAGAACAGAACTCTTCAAATTCCATCCGAATCACAACACAGTTCGTTTGTCCAGAGAATAGCTACAGAGACCCTTCTTCTTCTTGTAGGTCAGTCCCACCTTCACGCGTTGAACCCATATCTCAGACACAAGGATCTGTGGGCAGGGACATTCCCTGAGAAACCTAACGTGACTTTAATGAAATATTCAATTGTCTCCTTGAAGTGCAACATTTTTGCTGCTTATTAGCTTAGTGAACCACTGGATATACATTTCTTTGTAGTGTAGAGCCTGTACTGTTGGGTTTCTTTATAGTATAAAGAGTTATAGCTCAGCAGTTTGAAGCATAGGAGAGGGAGGTGGAGTTAAGAAAGGAAGAGGATTTTGGTGTGAAAGCCAGTAGAAGAGAGATCGTCAGGAAGATCTAGACAAGAATATAAGAAAAATATAAAGAGTGATCTTCGAGAAATAAAATAGGGTGGTATGGTCGGATTCATCTGGCTCAGGATAGGGACCAGTGGTAAGCTCTTGTGAACACGGTAATGAACCTTCGGATTCGGTAAAA